TTCCTTGCTTAGGTAGTCCTGGTGAGTGCTCTTAACAAAAAATTTGCATGTATTTTATTTCTAATGTACATATTTACACATATGTGGGAATGAATATTTTTTGTGCTTTTTGGGACATACTGTTTCAGAAACCTGGCACTGCTGTGGAACACACTGAATACTAAATGCCAGGAAAATGGAAACTAATATCCTTCTTACTATTAAGAGGTGTAAAGAAACAGATTTCCACAGAACTGGTAAAACTTGGATTGTACAAATAAATAACCAGTAACCTTGAAACTTTTCCCCTCTATCTGGGTAAGTGTAGGGATTTAGGCCTTAAAAGACAGCTTCTGTTGGTACATTAGTAATCCTAAATGAGAGAATTGCAAAATCCCTCTTGAGAGGTAGAGGGAATATCTGCTCTATTTCTACTACTGAAAAGAATTCTATACAGGATGAGTAGTTAATGCTTTTAATAAAAATTGAAATTTATTGCAAGTGACAATATGATGATGGTCTCAGTTCTGAGAACATTTGAATGAATGGTACTTCTGTAATACAGCTTTATCTTACTTGCACTTCTTTAGCATCACATGAGCAAAAAATGTGTTGGCAGCCTATTAGAGAATGTAGATAAACTTGTAACTTTTAGATAAACTGCAGTTCACTTTGTGCATGCATTTGTATATTGTAAGCATAAACATTGTACAGCTGAAATATGAACACAGCTCTGAAAATATTTTTACTGTAGGGAAATAGAAATGATAAGCAAACCTATTAAACTCGGTCCTGTTTCTGCATACCTAAATGTACTTTCATCAGATCTGGTTTAGCAGTTGGTTTTTGTGGTTTTTCTGGGGTTGTTTTTTTTGTTGGTTTTTTTTTTTCCCCAATGGTCTACATGCTGTGATGCATACATATAGCATGGAAGAAAGAATGCTATAAAAACAAACTGAGACCTGGAATGCTTTTAAAAATAAAAAAATAAAAAGAAAAACTCCCAAAAGCCAGTTTTTATTCATTACTGTCAAGGTAGTAGAGGCTACCCAGCTTCCTTTCCAGTTCTGGTCCCATAATCCTAAAAATTTGACTGAAGAAAATACAAACTAGCTAACAGTTGTTTCCTGCTAACTGTGATATAGATAACAATATGACACTAGAACTTTCTCTCATGTTATCTCCAGTTGTGCAGTTTTTTCTGCAGTACTTTATTTATAGACCCTTTTTCTGCAACTACCAAATACAAGAGTATATTACAGCTGTATCAAATGTTTGAGCCAACCTTAACAAAAGTGAATGAGATTTCAAAATACTACTGCCTAGAAACCTTTTCTACTTTGTATACGAGTATGTAGCTTTCCTTAATGTCAGAGTAGATCAGTCTTACTGTTTTGGACACTCTTGTTCCAATAGTATTGTTCATATTTGGAACAGCAGGTTGAGAACTACTTGTTTGGAAGGCCTGTGCAAATTATGACTATTCAGTCCTTGATAAATTAGAGAAGTTAAAATATTTTGAGGAATGTTACAGAAATTCTACGTACTGAATGAGAAACACCAATTGTGAGCTGACTTTATATGAAAATGACCTTTATGTGAAAATCAGATGATGAACAAGCGAAATAAAACTGCTTGTTGTTCTTAAGTTCTAGCATAAAGAGCCAAATGTGGATGTGCTTTCTTCCACTTATCTCAGAGCTATACCCCCAGTCACCTGGGTTTTTTAAATGGCAGTCAAATGGGGATGCAGAAGACGAAAGGAGCTATTTGCATGGGAACAAGTAGAAGCTCAAAGTGGTTCCAAAAACAAAACCTGTTCCTATAACCTGGGTGTATCCCTTACAGGAATTTTATTTATGCTTTTGGGTTACTTGGCCAGTTTTGCATGAGTCTTTGAGACTCCCCCAGTGGCTGTTCCATAGCTTAGAGCAATTGGGTTTGATTTTCAGACACTAGATGTTGGCAAAATGGCCAGGTCTGAGCATTGCTGCCTGGTTACTGAAGAAGTCTAAGGCCTATGACTAGACTAGGCAGTTTATGGGCATCTCCTGTTCTTCATATGGGGCATTCCAGGTTCAACAAAAGAACCAATAGGATATTTTACATAAATTAACATAAGGACAACATGGAAGCTAAAAGGAACACACCCCTCATGGGGACTTGAATGGATATGTGAATTGGGGACAGGAAGTTGGCAGAAAAACATATGTACTCCCTATAGGGAGTTCCTTTTACAGCCTGTAGCAGAGGATGATAGGCTGTTTGGTGCTCTGCATCTGTCACTTCTCTGGCCAGTCAGATGGGCAGCAAGGGACTGGAAGCTTCAAGCAGAGTGTTTTTGTCTTTTTCATCAGTAGAGTGTCTGCTTTCGTTTGGAATATGGGAGAAACAGCTTGAAATGGTACTATAAAGGAAAGCCTTTATTTTTACAGATCACTGATCAGATGATATATAGCACCTTGAACTATCAATGTAAACAAAGGCTTGACCACAGTATGCACTCTGCTTGAAATAATCTTGATGAGCCATCAGAAATGGTGGATCAATATGCCTTACAACCCATTTAAAAGTACCAGGAAGGAACACAACTTTTTCCTGCAAGCTATAGGTATAATTGCTTTGCTTACTAAGTTAATGTAAAAACCTGAATGCCGCTCTACTTTTAGGTTAAGTTATTGTTCATCTGTAGTTCAGATGCTCTTTGATCTTTAGGGCTTCCTTGGATGTCATTAAATATCTGAAAATAAAATCTTCCTTTTGCTTACGTTACTACTGGTGGGGAAGAGAAGGAAATAACTAAGGCTACTACTTACTGTGTTGCTCTCTGTTTTTCAGTAAATGCATAGTTCTAAAAATGTTTAACCTGCACAGGATATAAAATGTATCAAGTTTTGCTGATCTCTACATCAGTGACTGCTACCTTTACCATGGTGTTGAGAAGAAGGGTCTTGACTTAGGTGAATGCTAGGTAGACTTGTGTTCCAAAAATTAAGCAATTGGGTTCAGATTTTTTCTATACAGTCACTTAAGCATTCTGTTGTATGCTTATCTTTAGTAGACAGACAGAATAGAAGAATGCGTGTGTGTGAAGAAAAGGACTTGTGAAAGTTGAAATGCTGTTCTACTACAGTTTTAAGTACAGCTGTTTGTTTAAGAGCAGTTGCTCTAAAAGAATATTGTTAGTTGTAGGAAGCATCAGGGAGGTCGTTGCCTGGCTGCTGGCTTAAACATCCTCTTTTCTTTTGGAAGCAGAGTTTACAGTATGATTAGTAAGAGGAAGAAAAATCATCTGAAATCACCACTTATTTTCTTGGGTGTCGGTTTTTTTGGGGGATGGAGAGTTGGGTTTTGGGTGTTTGTATATTTTAGTCTTCATACACTTGTTGATTAGGGATTTAGAAAAGGTCAACCAATGACAGTGGATTTCAGAAACACTGCAGAGAGGTTAATTTAGAAATGCTTCTTGATTATTTCAGTATTATTTGTATGAATCTCACATATTTGGGATCTGAACCTTTACCCCTTCTCTCCTTCAGCAGTAAGAGCAGCAGCTAGGAAATCAGTGGGATTTACATGCTGACCAAATGTCTTCACTGTTTGAGGGGGTGAGGGGGAAGGGACCAAAACAGAAACACCTGGCTTTCCAGGCTGTTTTGATTTTACATTGTCCCTGCTATCAAGAGATCAGTTACTAGACAGATTTTTCCTAACCAGATAGTTTTCTTTTAAGCCAAGTTCTGTGGTGTACTGTTAGGGAGACTGGCAGCTCTAGCTGCCATCATGACTTAATTGTACACGCAGCATGGCAAACCGTGGCAGCCTGTATTGGCATGCAGAGACCTGAGGTAGTGTTAGGGTTGAACTTCTCTTAGAGGAACAATTAAAAAAAGAATTATGCTTTGCTGGTAGATAGTGAACACTTTGTATATGATAATACTACTTTTGCCATAGGAGCTGAGCAGAGTAATAAAAATAGGTACACTGCAGCTACGATAAGTAAGTGGTTTCACAGAATGTTAAAGATGGGGGTGCAGAAATGGCATTTGTTTTCAACTAGAGCAATGTCAGCTTTGTAAGGTGAACTGCATTCTTTTTCTCTTTGTAGAAAATGTTATAAAATGTATGCACTTATCTGATTTTTTTATCTAATGAGATTTTGCTGAATTGACCAATGCAGCCTGAAATAAATCGTGTGCGATAATGAGTCTTGCTATTTGTTCCTGTTTAAAAACAAACAAAACAATTTAGGCATGTTTTTAAATAACTAAAACACAGATCCATTTGTAGTCTGTTCTGCATATAGGTTACCATAAGTAAGAATCTAATCCAGAGGTATATATATCAGTTCTCTGAAGTTTCAGACATTTTTTAGTGGGTACTACAGTAGCTATGTAGACACTTTTTTTTTTTACTTTTTTGGTTGAAATATTTGTTTAGATCCAAGAAATTTAATGGAACTAACCATTGAGTACATTTCTGAGATGAATCTAAATTACTTTATACCTTACAAAACCAAATCCTGTGGTGCCTTTCTGTTTTCTGTCCTATCACCTGGACTAACAAGATTGCCTGATCTATATGGACAAACCATGTTAATATCTATAGCAACCCTAGGGTCAAAAAGGAGATATTTTGTATGGAATGCTTCTAAGCAATAAAATTCAATATTGCTGCAAACATGGATTAGTCTTAATTATGACAACTGTGCTTTCATGATCATTAAAGTCCATGGATCTTGTCCTATAAAAAAAAACCAAACAAAAAACCCCAAACAACAAAAAGCCTAAGTTGGTACTAGTTCGTAAACTGATCAGAGATTTATCAAGTTGCTCAGTAGGAACTGGCTTGAATTATTTCACAGTAACCACCAGTCTCTAGTTTGCTTTTTGACTGTATACGCAAGTAGACTTGGATGGAACTTAGAATAAGCATTTTTAAGATATTTGTTCAGTGTCACATTACTAGTTCTGAAGGTCCTCAGTATCTGTTTTGTTTTTTTGCAGATGATACAGCTCTGGAAGAAAGATTTGTCTTCACAATTTGCTTTACAGTATCTGAATAGCAAAAGCACAATGGACACTTTTTAGAGTTTTACAGAAATCAAAAATCATCTAGGAACAAGAACATTGGACTTCAAGGAATAACAGACTTTAGAGAGCCCAGAAATTGGTCACTGATAAACCTGATTTGGCCATACAGCTTGGGAATGAATACCATTGAGACAGCAAAGCTTGAAGAGCATATGGAGGGTCAAAACAATGACACTTCTAATGGCTACTCACGACCTACTCTCTCAGTCAGTGAAGAGAACAAAAATGGCACTAGCAAACCAAAGGGCTTGTCTAATGGCTTGCGAAAAACAACAAAGAAATATCCTGATTACATCCAGATTGCTATGCCGGCTGAGTCTAGGAACAAATTTCCTCTGGAATGGTGGAAAACAGGCATTGCCTTTGTCTATGCTCTCTTCAACTTGATTCTAACAACTGTCATGATCACTGTGGTCCATGAGAGAGTACCTCCAAAGGAGCTAAGCCCTCCCTTGCCTGACAAATTTTTTGATTACATTGATCGTGTGAAATGGGCTTTTTCTGTATCAGAAATAAATGGAATGATACTAGTTGGATTATGGATATTCCAGTGGTTGTTTCTTAGATACAAGTAAGTAGCTAAATTTTTTTCCTCTGCTGTACGTTTTCAGAACGTTGGTTTGCCTTGTTCATTTTGGGTAGAAGAAATCTTACGGCAGAATCTGTAGCAATATTGTAGAATAGGGCTGGCAGGAAAATGGCGAAGAGATGACTTCTTTAGAATGTGTTCCAGTGTCCTTGTTGGATATGGAGACAGGTTTCTCCTGATTATTGAATAATGTTTTTTAAATCTGAATTTGACATCTATGTTGTACTAGTCAAATTTATTCTGGGATTGGGTTTTTCAAGCCCATGGCAATGTTTAAACGGGAAATCACAGTGATGTAAAAAATCTCATCCAGATTTGAGGAGGAACCAACTGTCTTCTACAGCTAGACTAGAAGCTTTTTCCTTTGTCTTCATGTGCTTAAACTAGGATATGGTTATAATATGGGACCGAAAAGAGAAGGTCACTGAGTCAAGGAAAACTATGCCTGACTGCACACCTGAATTAGACGGAGGCCATGTTAAATAGGTTAGATAGCTTTGGTGGGAGCTTTGTGGTAGTTCTATACTATTATGAGCTAGCAAGACTAAAACCTGAAGAAAGACTTTTTGGTATTTGATTTAGAGAAGTGTGTGGTGGAGAGCAGTGGGTGGACCTGCTCTTTAATTCTAGGGATTTAGCTGTTTAATAAAGGTAGAGCTCCATAACTGTTATATGTATATCCTGCATGTGAACTTTGTACTCAATCTTTTTTCCCCCCTTCCCTTACTTTCAGATCAATAGTGGGACGCAGGTTCTTTTTTATAATAGGAACTTTGTATCTGTACCGCTGTATTACTATGTACGTTACCACCTTACCTGTGCCTGGAATGCATTTTCAGTGTGCGCCGAAGGTAAGAGCCTTTGCTCCCTAATTCTTGCCTTGGTATTTGCCTGAGTCCTTATGGCTTATTAGAGCAAATAGAAGATAATGTTCCAGGTGTTATTACATAACACAAATTACTTTCAATTGATGTCTTCAGAAATGTAGATAGTGATAAACCAAAAGTTGTGGGATACAAAAAGAGCCTCAAACTGTTGCTGCAGTTAAGATGCTTTAAAGGAGAGTGCCTATGTTGAAATAGTGCTGCTACCAAATTAGTAAACTTGCTTCTGAGGCTCAAGCTAATCACTCAATACTGCAGCAATACTTTTTTCTTACATGGTGGGATACCTATGGTCAATATTGTAATTCATAGGCTGATACACAAGCTTGTGTTGCAGTATCCTTTTAAAAACCCACAATGTTATTATATGCTTTGTCCTGTTTCTCACATTATTTTGTCAAGAGCTATCGCAATACCAGAAGTCAGCTGCCTATCCTTCCTTCCAACCTGCAAAATGTATGTAAAGTGACTAAAACAAGTTCAGCTGTTTAAATGAGCTGATACATATAGAAACATGTACATGCTAATATTTCTACAAGAACATTAAAAAAAATTGTGTTGGTGTAGTTAAGTGGTGACACAAAGGACTTCTGTTATTGCCGTTTTACTGATAAAAAGTTGTAGACATGTAATTGTCTTGGAACAAACAGTATCGTGTTGGCTGCACTGAAAGAACAGGCACTTGAGAGAGTAAGAAACAGTTTGGCTATACAGGTAGAAGATAAGCATTTTGAAACCTAAAAATTCTGCCAGTTTGCTTAGGGGATAAATTTGTCACTTCTTGGGTAGGATCTCATCAGTTCTGAGGTACAGCATCATGTCTGTTCAGTCTTATTCTTTCACATTCACAACTTAGGAATATAGTGGATGAACTACTTTTCTTATGAATCAGTATCTATTTGACAAAGCTTTATTTACATAACACTATTGTAAAGACTTAGCTGTTTTGTTCTTCTAGCTTGGGGAATGACTTTGTGTAGTAGGCTGTGTATTGAGGAGTGGGAAGAGGTAAGCAAAGGAAAACTTAAATATCTCTGCTGAAAGTCTATTTTGCTAGCATTAAACCAGGATGAGTTACTATTTTTCTGATTATGGAGAACTCAGTTATCCCTTTGTCTTGTTTGTTTTTTTTCCCAGAGTTAATCTTTAAACAGCTAGGTGAAACTGAGTGTTTACCTTGTATCTATGATAAATCAAAAGCTGATCCTAATGCGTGTTTAAAAAACCCCAAATCCTCTAAATCTGAGTAACTCCTGACTGAGTTTGTAACCAAATCTGAAATTAAGTGAGTTTGAAGATTTTTGTCCTGTAGAAACATTGCTCAGCTCTCAACAGAATGATAGAAGCGGTATGCAAGGTTGTACTGTGTTGGAACCAGTTTTCAATGGGTTTTATCCATTCTGTCAATGGCTATCATGAGATACCTGACCTTACCAATTTTTAATGTTTACCTTTCCGGTATATTCTGCATCTCATTCTCATACAATGCGTATTTTAAATAGCCTGAGAAAGCATAAACAGAATGCTAGTGTTATCAAGCTGATCTTTAGAACCTGTCAACTTTGATATGCATGCTTATTTGTTTAAGAATATGTGAAAGAAAGTGAAGGTAACGTGTCCTTTTCTCCCTGTCTCCCTGACTCCACATAGGTTTGGGCAAGAAGTTTACTTGAGTCGCTTAGGGTGTGTCTTAAAATTTTTTTGTACCTCTTTTTCTGGTGTTCTAGTTGAATGGAGATTCTCAGGCAAAGGTTCAGAGGATCCTGCGACTGATTTCTGGTGGTGGTCTATCCATAACTGGATCACACATCCTGTGCGGAGACTTTCTGTTTAGTGGTCACACTGTGGTATTAACGCTGATCTATCTGTTCATCAAAGAGTGTAAGTGATGGTATTTCAACACACTTTTGTTGAAATCTGTTGTACTGGGAAAACACGTGATAAAAGTGCATGTAAAGCTATTGCCCTCCAAAAGTTACTAGTCAGCTGTACACAGACTGTACATGTACAGGTTTGAAATACAAATCATGACTTTGAGCGAAAATGGAATGTGGGTTTAGTAGAAGTGGTGTGGGCTTTAATTAAGGGCTTAATGTGACTAGACATGTCACTTCTGTCTTTATATAATGTGTTTACTGGTTGATTGAAGCAAGCTAGCTTTTTGTTATTGATTGACAGGTTATTCAAATTTTGGGTAAAACATACTGTAGTTAATTATGCAGCTCTGTGGGTTGGCTGATATACCTTAGATTTTAAGGAATTTTTGTGGCTTGACCACAGCACCATTGCACTCTCATACTACATCCAGAAGCAAAGTGATTTTTTTGAAGTGTGCTGTACATTAGTTACTGCAAACAATGAATAGTTGATTCATGCTCCTTGGGTGTCTTCTGCTAGAGTCTCCTACTCATGCCTCTTGGAGTTGATAAGAATTTGGCAAGTGCAGAGAAGATACAGTTGGGGTTATAGTTTCCCCCGTTGCTTTACATTGCTATGGGGCATGGGGGGAGGGGGAGAAATCTATCTGTGCTGTACACACAGCACTGATTGAAGCTTTGGAGAACTGAGCACCAACTTCTAAATCTGATATACGGTAAGCAGTGCTGCTACCCTGGGAACTTGGCTGCTCATGAATGTGTAGTTGGTAGTTCCCTTTCCAGTTCACATGTTTGGAATTGGAATCTTCTCTCCTATTGTTGTGTCCCAAACTAGGCAAATACTATCTTGGCTCATGGGGATGTAATTCTCACTGAAACAAAAATAAGACTAGCCAGCATTAGTTGAATGCCTTCCTTTTTATTAAAAGGTTGAGGGAAGTGTTGCAGTGCTACGTTCTGCCTTAAACAAAAAACACAATATAAAAATGCCTGTTTAATATGACAAACTTCAAATCTGCAGATGCGAGACATTCAGAGTGATTTAAGATGCTGATTATAGTCTGCTGATTCTTAGGCCTAAGTCTTTCTTGTAAAGTGAACATTACTGGGTTTTTTTGCTCTGCACTTCTCTTCCTTTCATCCCTTGCTGCTTCTTCATTTATTCCCCCACACTTCAGCTTTTTTGCCCAGAATAGTTATTTACATTTTTAGCCTTGGTATGTCTGTCTTGCTTGGGGCTGTTTTTATCAACTTCTTCAGATGACTTGGCTCCTTATAATTTATTTTTTTTTTAAATCGGCAGATACAGATTTTTCTGTGGTGTTTTGGGGAGAGTTTTTGGAGAGAATTTACTGTTTTGACACTTGCACCACATTTAAGTCATCCTACAGTAACTCTTTTGCACAGGCCTCTCAAACTACTACTGGGTAGGCTTGTTAAGATCAGTAACTTTTCTGCTGGTATTGTGTGAAAGTAAAGGCTGACCATTGCCCCACAAGGCAAGGGGTGCCAAAACCTCCCACTGTGAGTGAAATGAAGCCCATTAGCCTGTCAGAAGTTATGAATGGTTGTTGTGACACCCAAGGCATTTTTCAATGGGGAAAGAAGGGCAGGGGAACTTTTCCACTAAAGTGGCTTAAATGCATTTTGAAGAATAGCTTTGCTCTCATTTGTTAATCTTTAATGAAAGGGTATAAATTCACATACTGTACTTCCTGGTACAGTGTATTCTGTTTCATAGAACAGAGGTCTCATGCAAAGTAGTTAAACCCTAGGAATTAAAATAAGGGTGTCTTTTCCTGTATAATCTATGATCTCTGCTCAGTTTGTATCAATCTAGACATTTTATTTGAGCATAGATTGTAAAAAGAGCAGAGATTCAAAGCAGTCAAGTAAAATAATCAAGTGTATGTCTTGCCTCAATTCTGTTTCTTCTCTTGCACCCCCTACCCTAGAAGTGATTTAATTAGAAAACTAACTTAATTTGACTAGAAAATGGGTGATGGTGCTGTCTGTCTTTAACTGCAAGCTCATCTTGGGTTCATTTTACAAAGTAAGAACACCTCAGTAAGTTTGCATAATTCTTTAGTCTTGTTTTCTGTGTCAAAACAGGGTTTGTGTACCAGTGTGGTATAAATGAGTTACATTTTAATATTTAGTACCCTTAATTAAATCACCTTTTTTTATCTTTTCCCCTTCACTTTGTGGATTGCTATAATAGAGTATATGGCTTTTTTGTGTGTTTTTTTTCCCCGTCACCTCCCTATTTCACAGATTCACCACGTCATTTCTGGTGGTATCACTTAATCTGCTGGCTAATGAGTGCTGCTGGCATAATTTGTATCCTTGTTGCTCATGAACACTATACTGTAGACGTCATCATTGCTTACTATATCACCACACGGCTTTTTTGGTGGTACCACTCAATGGCTAATGAAAAGGTGAGTGGCAAATACCTTTAGAATCAATGTATAGCTTGCATTTGTTAATACTCCTGAAAGGTCAAAATTAGTTCCTAATTTTGAAATAAAAATAGAGGTTCCATACTGAAGTTTGAACAAATTGGGAAAGGAGTTTCACTTTACTGTGGATTAAGTAAATATTTAATGGATTAAGATGTTCTTTTTTGATCTGTGCCTGTTATGAAGTTATTTCAAAATTTGTTTTTTAAAAATTCCTGTTATTTTGGCTTAAAGACTTTTTTTAACTTCAGAAAAACTTTATTGCTGTAGTGGATGTATAGAATAGCCCTTGTTTATCTAAGTTTATGAGTAAACAGTAGTTTAGTAATAAAGTATCTGACCAACCTAAATTATCTTGACCATCCTAAAATTCTAGTGACAGTTCTGTAAATGTCACTAGAAGTACATTGTTCAAAAGGTAACTGCTGCAGTTGTTTCAAGAACACTTTCAAATAGGAGCATAGTTCTCAAGCCATTTTAATCTGGTTTTCAGCTATTAGTCATCAATGGAAACGTGACATGCCCAAAAGGACTCACATTGAAAGACTTGAGCACTCTGTCTCCCTAAATTTTGTACAGCAACAAAGCATCCCTTTGTGTAAAAGATGCTCAGATTGTAGTATACATTTGGACTCTGATGTATATGCTATCTCAATATCCTGTTTTTTTGTAGGCTAAATGCACCTCGTCTTTGCAGAAATGCATGCAAATAATTGCATTTTTGTAGTTGTCTTGACTCAACATAGTTGATTATAATGATTTAAACTGATTGTCTGTTTCCTTTTTCTCTTTATCTACTTATGCCATTACAGACTTTAAAGGTCTCTTCGCAGACAAATTTTCTGTCTCGAGCATGGTGGTATCCAATATTTTATTTCTTTGAGAAGAATGTGCAAGGCTCTGTTCCTTGCAGCTTTTCCTGGCCGATATCTTGGCCTCCCAGCTGCTTCAAATCTTCATGCAAAAAGTATTCACGGGTTCAGAAGATGGGAGAGGACAATGAAAAATCTACCTGAAGAAAAGAAGGAAAGCATCTGCTCTGTTTTTTTACCAAAACATTAATGCTGTAACCAAAGCTCTTAAGAGGACTACACTGTAACTGAAGAAGTGGACCAAGCTTCTGTGCAATTGATTGGAAAGACAATTGTAGACAAACATATTGCCATTTCGTATGTTTTCCTATCACCAGGCTGTACAGACCTATTCTACTCTTCAGTGCTAATAGAATGCACCACTGATGGGATTTTTTTATTAAAGAAAAAATGGAGCAGGACTTTGCTTTACTAATGAGATAGAGGCCAAAGACCACACTAGCACTTTCATTACTAACTATCACTCATCCACAGAAGCACCCAAAAATCTCATCTTCAGAGTTCTGGAGTGCGTAAGGGCAAAAACATGCTAAAATGTAAAGGCATGATATCGGCATATTTGTGGCATATAAAAAAAATAACACAATTGTGGGAAGTGGTTTGTTGCATTATTCTTGCTAATGAAGGTAAGGCCTTTGCGTGACTGGTACAGCTGGAAGCAAGTCTTGACTTTTTTTACACTCTGTGGGTATGAATATCTTATGACCCTAAAATACTACTTACCACCATTATCTCCCATATATTCTACTATATACTAATTTTTACATTTTTTATTAGTAATTTTATATTTAAAATGTTGTGCTACCTGATGACTTTGCAAATTAGGAATAGCTGCTAACATCAGAGCTCAAGGAACCTAAAACTTTATTTTTAAAAAAGGACATGGTTTCAAAGTCTAAATCTTTAATTGCAGTTTGGCCTTGTGTATATAGCTATACAGTGCCTATCAGTGTATGTACATGCATATACACACAAAAGCACATACTGTTGTGTAGTTAAACACATATTAAAACTACTTACTGGAAAGAGTGATCATACTGTTCTTAATTCAGGCAAAAGTCCTACAGATCGTACCTGCCTGAGGAATGCAAGGCCAGGTCCAAAATGGGGCTATATTTAAAATAAACATTTTAATTTTAGTAGCACACTCTTGCTGAAACTATGTAGCAGATTTGTTTGGGAGCCATAGTTCTGCATTGACTTTCCTTTTTACCTATTGGTGCATTTCTGCGACTTCAAAAAAACCAAAAAAGTGCCAAGGTGAATACCTACAACAGTAGCATTTCTTCAATTATTACCTAAACCCATTTCATATTAAATGACACTGTGGTAGAACTCACATGCAGATTCCTTTTTTCCCAGGGTTTTGTGCAACTGACATGGCTTTAAGCAAGCTGGCTGAGAATGTGGGAAATTACCATGGCAAACATGTAACAAAATCACAAATTAATTAGCTACCTGGTTCTTGTTGGGTTTTATTGTTTTGTATTGTTGGGAAAGCAAAGTAGAAAATTAGCATACCATGTTTAACCATTTATGTTCTGTAATAATTTCTGCAGTTAATTTTATTTTCAAATCTTCAGTAAAACCTGATAGCAAAGATAAAACTGCGTTAAGTGTTGAAGTGATACTAATATAAAGGAAATGCTGCTTATTTTAAGACTGTCTTGAACTGAGTGACAAGTGTGAACAGAGTTTAAATAATGACAACTTGTTTTTAAGAAGTCCAGTTAAAGTTACAAAATGCAATATGGAGTATTCAAATATGATTTTTTTTTTCAGTTAAGGGGATCAGTTGCTATGAGTTGTACATAAGAATATTATTAATGTGCATTTCAAATATTTTTTGTGCATTATCAAAGTAATACAATAAACAATGTTCCTTATAATACATCCTTGGTAAAACTTAGTTAAGAAAGAAATTCTGCTGATGTTTGGTTTTGTTATTTAAAATAAGCTTCTTAGACTTTTATAACATGCCCCTGGAAGTTGTGTGTGTGTGTGGACATACCTATGTTTCCATTTGCTTGCTCCTGGCAGACCTTGAGCAGCTGAAAAGCCAGTATCAAAACATATATATGAAAGTCCTTTTTCTGTATCATATAAATGAATCTGTTCGATGTCAGTCTGTAAATCTCCCAAGATACTTGTTACATCAGTACTACTTCATAGAGCATAATATCTTTTTTTGAAGCTGAATTCTAAGCTTTGTGATATCTTAAATATGGTCATGTTAAGCCACTTGTAGTAATACTATCTTTTAGAAATTGTGAATTAATTTCATTAGTGGTAACCGTGTCTTGAAAATAACATGAAAAGCATTCCAGTAAGGAGCTTAAACAGTTGGGTTTCATCTGGTGGCTGAATAATAAATACTTTGATAGTCTAGATAGCTAATTGTCTGCATAACCACCACCATGTCTCAGTGGGATTTCTGCAATATATCTGCAACATAGAATTTCTTCATGCAGGATGAGGTGTTTGGTTTTTTACACTTATTCCTGTTTTTGAAAGGAAAAAATATGAAAGTGATGATTGAGCCAAGAAAAGATTAGGCTTTTGTTGGGTCTAATTCAGCTTTCTTTCTACTGCTGAATTTGATCGAAACTTCTGTTGTAATACAAAAGGAAAGTTTAAATGGCAGCCCTAGCTCAAAATACTTGATTCCTGTTCTGGCTTGGCCCTCCCTTAAGTGCTTAAATTTTCTCCATTATATCAAAGCCCTCAAAATGGTGTGTTTTAATTAGCAGAAAACCCCACTTCTCTACTCTCTCAATAGCTTTAAATTGCTTTTGCAAACTTGGACGGTATAGATGTTTAGGCCTATATGTAAGGTGGTGAAATGGGGTAAGTAATGGTATATGCTAGTGCTTACTGCTACAGTAGTTTATCCAATACAAACCACAGCCAGTACATAAAAATTACTAATTTTAAGAACTTAGTGATCATTGTAGTTAAATACTATGAAGCTGAAAACATGGTTTCATCCTAAGAGGAAAAAGGATTGCAGTGGGTAAGAACAGGAGAAACTTAAGTCTTCACTTAATTTACTGATCACTTGATTGTAGGCTTATTTGGGCTGTATATGCCCAATGTTATGCAGTATGTCACTGTAATTATTTTTTCCTGGAATTACAATAATAATCTTCCTTACAGGTGTCACATGAGCTGCACCTGTACTGTGACTATAAGTAAAATGCTGCTTCTCTCTACTGAAGAGCATTTACATGCTGAACTTCCCTGACACTTAAAAAAAAAGACAAGGCACTACACTTTTGTACACCTGGCGTATCAGTTGACTTGGATGCTGTTGGGTGCTTTGCATTTATAAAACAACCTTTCTTAAATGCCTAACCTAAATTTAAAACTGGATTTAAAAGGTTAACTTGAGCATATAAAAAAAGTGCTGCTATGTTGTCATGCTACAGGTGCTTAATTCCTATGCCAGAAATGATTAACATATACTTGAAACAACTGTAAATTGACATTTTTATGGTACGTGCTTAGCACTCCCATGTGGACGTAAATGGTACTAAATGTTAATCATCATTGCTATCTTTCCAAGAAAACAGCAACAGGTGGGGTAATAGCAAAAAGAGCTGTGCTAAATGTTGCTATGAACTCTAGTACTGGATTTGCTTCCCTCCTTAAAAAAAAACAACCCCCCCCCCCCAAAAAAAAAAAAAACCAAAAACGGGGGGTGGGAGAGAAGGAAGGGGGGGGGGAATCAAGACTGTTTTTATATGTTAAAATACACTACCTTCATGTAATAGAGAAATAAAGCTCAGTAATGGAGATGCAACTGGGAAGTATTTTAGAAGATGAGAGAGAATTATCTTAATTAGATTATGGCAAATCCACTTATCTGTGTCTTAAATCAGAATCTGTTCAAACTCTGGCTTTCTCCCATCATTAGTATCTGGCTAGACAAGTTATCCTAAGTTGTTTGTTACTAACCCAAATTCCTTTTCTCATTTCAGTAGATACGAAGTATGATTTACAGTTCTAGAGACCAGATCCATTAACTTCAGTGCAAGGTGAACTCTTTCCATTTACTTCAAATGAACTTTCCCCAACTCTTTAACTTAAAAAAAAAAACCACCAAAACTATCTTAAAGATTCATGGGGTAATTTTAAGAACATGTCCAATCTATCAGATGTACTGGAACCATTTTTTCCTTGCTGGCAGACTTAACAGCTGTAAAGCTCCACTGTCATCTTGATATTTTTACAATGTGTGTTTTGGACTTACCTAGAAGTCTTCTGTAGGCACACAGAATTAGAGTGATACTGTAAGACTGCTGAATTTAAGTGTTCTATACCAGGCATTGTAAAATCAATGTCTTAAATTCAGTTACTGAAAAAGGGGTCTTAAAAATAAATACTTCTGTTGGACACCATTTAAATGAGTGTTACTGTTTTAAGTGCACATTGGAAAAATATCCTAGCATGCCACTGAAGTAACTTTGCTTATAAGTTAGCCTTCATATGCTATTTTATGATGCTTCCTAGTGTCCAAGAAAAAAAAAATTGTGCCGAGAAACTGAGAATTAAGACAAAGGCTTTTGTTCTAGTATTTACAAGAAAAGGAAAGATGAAAACATTGAAGTAGATGGTGATCATATGTTGCTTTTTAAACAAAATTGAGCTGAAACTAGACCTAACTTTTAAGTAATGTAGAATTACATTGTTTATGTGTAACAGTACTGCAAAAAAAACCTATAAGGAAACAGGCAGTATTAAGCACTTCATTCTACAATACAGATGTGTGTCTGTGCTGTGGATTGTGCTGGTTCTCATCCATAACTTACAGTATAAAAATAAAACCCAACTCAGTGAGAGTTGCTTGGAGATTTTAAAATACTTAAATATGATTAGCAAACTTCCGTAAGCTGTTCCTCCAAGCTGTCACTAACAGTTGCTAAAACAAGAACAAAATGTTGCAATGCTTAAAACATAATGAAGCTTTTCTCCAGTTGGCTCAAGTTTCCATGTATTTAACCATTTGATTAAATCTCACTAATCTAGAAAGTAGCACATAAGAATTTCAGGCTAGGTACAGGTAACATATATTGTAGGAACAAATTCTAGTTCTGAACTCATATTTTATTTCGGTAGGTAATCTTTCCTAACAAAACACTTAGAATGCCTGAATGATGTTTTAAGATGAAGTAATGATCTGTGCAGTCTCTAGTGTGTATCTAAAATACTGGTGTTGAGGATTCCTTCTCTCCTGGTGGAAATTAGTGCTTAAAAACTCAGGAAGATATGACTTGTTTTCAATGAAAATACGTTAATTGATAAGGACTTGGAGTTTAGCAAATACTATGAGAAGTTTGTTTTCTGTGGCTCTCTGCTGTGGGCTAAGCTTTAAGTTAGAAGATGCAACCCAGGTAGGAGGAGAGGGCAAACCAGCTCTTTCTGGAAGCAGTAATTTGTGACTTTTTGAATTCAAATTGCATTGGCTGCATGCTACAGGCAGTCTTATCCGTACAATAGTGGAAAAAAAGATGCTGTATTATACTATTACAGTGTTCACTCTTTCAAATGATTCTGTATCGTTTGGCCCAGCCCTTCCCTTAGATGAGAAGTGAATGTTTTTGTGCTTTGCTTGCTGTATGGTTAGTCATAACTGGTTTCAGTTCTGGTAAAGGCCAATGGAAAAAATGTAGATCCATTGTATACAGTGCCTAAGGTGTTTTTAAAGTCTCCATGCATGGGTTTCTTCTAGCAGAAATACTCTTCTTTCAAGCTATGCCTATACAATATTAATTTCAGCTCTTGTATTTGTCCTCTGCATAATAAGGTCCTTAGGAAGTTAGCATTTGTGAAACTGCAAAGACTTATTACAGAAGAATCTCTTTTGTGCCAATTGAGATTGATTTTCACAAAACAACTTTGCTGAAATGTGTTTGAAGGTAACTTT